CAAAAAAAAAGGAAAGAAGACACTCAATTTGGAACAACCCAAAAAGAAAAGTAGGACATGTAAAATGGGACGGAGGGAGTAGTAAGTAGTACTCCCTCCCCAATTTGATGATCCCATTTCTTTTGGGCTCAAAGATTAAGGAAGTGGTTGAAAAGGTAAAAGTTGTGATTGAGATATGAGAAGAAAAAGGTTAAATGATGTGGACCACATATTTCTTTCCAAAAAGGGAAATGTGACTATCAATTTGGGACGGCCCAGAAAGGAAATACGAGATCATCAAATTGGGACGGAGGGAGTACTCTGTACAATATATGGATGTTTTTACTTGGACTGTAATATGTTGGTCTGGACTGGTCTGATCTGGTCTAATTTCTTTGTGTTTTTATAACTATCCAAGTCTAGTCTAGTCTTGTCTGATCTGTCTGGTCTGGGACAAATTACAGTCCATGTAAAAACATTCATAGTGTTATGTTAATTTTAATTTAAAAATCAAACATAAATTATTATGATTTCTTTACTACTTCAATTGCTAGTTATATTTTTGTAAATCATATTTATTTTAGTCATCAATATGATATTATCTCAAATAATTGTCACATTTTTTAAATCAAATATACAATCTACAACATTTCTTTTATAATTCTCAAATTGTAATTACAACTTTTATTACTTCATCCGTATTTAAAAGTTCTTCACACTTTCTTTTTAGGGTTGTATTTAAAAGTTCTCTACATTTTCATTTTTGGTAAGTTTACCTTTTATAAAATACATAACTAGCCTTACTTTATCTACTTTTTATCTTTTCGTTCATACTTTTACACACTCTCCCCTACTTTTTCTACATGCAGTATTCACTATCCCTATTATTCTATCCTAAAATATTGTGCCCAATTGCCCAAAGCTAGTGTCTAGGTCATTTAAGGGGGTGTTTGAAACTGATTCTGCTTCTGCTTCTTTTTTAAAGAAGAAACAAAATCAGAATCAGTTTTCATAAGCTGGTCTCTCATAACTTCTAAAAAAACTGATTCTGGGAGTAAATTAGAGCACCAGAATCACTTTTTTTCACTTTCATCCAAACATTTCAACTTCTGATTCTGTTCCCTGGGAAAACAGAAACAGTTTTAAGAATGAAATCCAAACACTCCTAAATAGGGAGGAGTGATAATTATTATTGTCAAACCAAAGTACTAAAATGAGGATTTCGTGTGAATGAGTAGCTGGCATTTCGTACGAGAATGAGTAATGACAAATAAATTGAAGTATGGGGATGCATGCTCTCAAAAAGGATTAGGATTGATAGTGACGTGATGGATACTCCTTTCTTTGCCATTAAGCTGAATTACGGAGTATAACTGTAAACAAAATTTTATAGTGCACCTGTTTTACAACATGTTTTGGTGGGTTCTCAAGCTGGCACAATCTGAGTGGGTTTTTAATCCACGTCACAATATTTTTTTCCAAAAACGTTTATTGCAAAGTAGGAGTGGCAGTGGGTCGGGTTAATACCGAGTGAAGGCTCATCCATGTCCACCCGTTAATTTTTCATTTTCCACTCACTCGTCCATCATCCATTAAAAATTACATCCACATTCAACTCATCCATTATGAACGGGTTATCGGGTGAGTAACGGGTGAGTAACTGGTGAATATAAATGGTCTAACTTGAAAGACAAAATAAATAAATTATAAAGAGAAATCATCACAATTAAAAACCAATAAATAAGAATTCATTGAGTAATAACAACAAAAATTCGAGCAATTGAATATATATTACAATCATTAATTAACTGCCGATAAAGAAAGAACTTATTGTCAAACTGAATAGACATAAAAAAATTCAAACTGTCAAATTATAGATTTCTGCATCGGCACAAAACTATTTTTGTAGCTCAAATGCCATTTCTTGAAACTCTCCAATTGTAATTCCTTCACCAATTCATAGATATGTGTCTTCTCCATTAACAAATACATATCTATTAATATATTAATATTAATTATTATATAATATATATACTATTAAATAGATATTATATAATATGTGTGTATATGTGTGTGCGTGCACACACACACACACACACACACACACACACACACATATATATATATATATATAGAGAGAGAGAGAGAGAGAGAGAGAGAGAAATCATCATGTCAGGCCGGCCTGACGGGATGCCCCGTCCGGCCGAGCCCGTTTGGGCACCTTCCCGGTGGAATTTTTTGATGAAATTTTTTGAGCATGTTCCTCATCAAGTCTAGTTTGTCCATACCAAATTTCAGCTCAAAATTCGATCGGGAAGGTCATCAAATGATTTTTGCAAGTTAACTGGTCCGGAATATGTATTTTCCGGACCAGTTAACTTGCAAAAATCATTTGATGACCTTCCCGATCGAATTTTGAGCTGAAATTTGGTATGGACAAACTAGACTTGATGAGGAACATGCTCAAAAAATTTCATCAAAATATTCCACCGGGAAGGTGCCCAAACGGGCTCGGCCGGACGGGACAGCCCGTCAGGCCGGCCTGATGAGAAGAGCTATATATATATATATATATATATATATATATATATATATATATATATATATATATATATATATATATATATATATATATATATATATATATACGGGTTAGTAGGTGTGTGGATTGAGCGGGTGACGGGTCGATCGGGTGACGGGTTGGATGGTTGTTCATCCACACCCCATTCAACCCATCTTTCAATGCACCCGTCATCCATTTTTCATCCATACTTTTTCGGGTTTTCGTCCATATTTGTTGTTCGGGTTGACCGGGTATCCGCGGGTGCGGGTGATATTGCCAGCCCTATTGCAAAGAGGCCCTTCCTTTCCCAAACCATATGCCCATCTTTCTTTAATGAAAACCAGGCGAGGCGAGCCCATCTTTCTTTTCCGGCACCCGCTAAAAAAAGAATCTGGTCTGGGAAATCGGGGCGTTTCTCAAAGGAAGAAACTGGCGTTGGCTAAGGTCGCACCAATCTGCCAAACGAAAGGCTGGCCTCGTCGTCAACAAGATCCTATCGTCATCCATAAGGTCGCACCGATCTGCCACATCGGCTCAATCCACTCCGGTACAGCTTAAGGTAAGTGTATCGTCTCTAATTTATTCACTCCTCACTAAATAAAATGTTAGCCCTGATTTGAATTACTATTTGAATTGCCAACTGATTTGGTGTCAAGTTTATTGAATATACACGAGATACGAGGAGTAATATTTTTTTGCTTGATAAAAAAATTATTGAAGTCATAAAACTCAACCATAAAGTTATTCTGGTCATATTATACTACTTTAGCTTGATAGAAAAAATCATCTTTTTGTTATAGTGTGCGTGAACACCTAAAACAATACTTATTAATTAAACAGAGGATACTCAAATTGACTTCACCAAAGTTAAATAGTTGAAGTCATAAAACTCACATAAGCCTAGGTTGCAGGGTAAATAACAGCATATAAGTAGTATGTGTGTTCCCAAACATCTATGCCTAGGAGGGGCACCAGGTTTAGTCCTTTAGTAACCAATGGACCCTTTAGAATAGGTAGAACTTGCACAAAATTAAAGGAAAGAAAAAAAAAATGAATATTATGAAAATAGAATGGTCTCACAAGGTTTGGGGTGGTTTTTACCACAAGGTGCTTCAGTTCTTTGTCCAAACCAAGCCACTGAGCATGGTCAAGATATGTTAAATAGGATGGTCTCACTGAACATGGCCAAATACTCCATTTTCAATGCATATGCCCTTACACCCTTACACTTACATTTTAGCCTTTTTATTGGTTCAATGTTGTAATAAAAGCATCGATGTACCTTGAAACCCTCATTCCAGGTTTTTGAAACTACTAATCTAATAATTTGAACTATTATTTTGTTTTATCACATAAGTAATCAAATTTACTACTAATGAAAGAGTTCGCATTGCGTCGAACTAAGGGGGTGTTTGGATCTGATTATTGAAACTGCTTCTGCTCTTTCAGGGAGCAAAAGCAGAAGTTAGAGTATTTGGGTGAAAGTGTAGAAGTGATTCTAGTGCTTTAATTTACTCCTAGAATAAGTTTTTTTAGAAGCTAGGGTGACCAGCTTCTGAAAACTGATTCTGATTCTGCTTCTGCTTTAAAAAAGAAGCAGAATCAGAATCAGTTCCAATTATACTGCTTTGTGATAACTGATAGCAAATAGCTAAGAGTCCAGCTATTGAATAACACTAATCAACATTCCATATTGTAAAAAAGAATAAGATTGAAAGAAAGTCATCATAATAAATTTTGTTCTTATTTATACAAAGTTATCCGAAAACAGGGGTAAGACTGCGTACATCGATCCCCCTTACTCCACCTTAGGCGGGAGCCTTTGCGGCTTTAATTTGACAATTAGAACAGTTTCCAAAATCCATAAGACGACAAGGAGTTCATTTATGCACCAAAGTAACACCAATGACTTAAGTCTGGAACCATTGTTAGGCGTAGAGATAATGGGTTGAAATGTTGTAGAAAAATAGTTAGTTGGTTATGCACATTCTTAAGGGTGGCCAACACCAAGAACTTTATTGTCGACTGTGATTAACTTTTGTAGCCTTTGGAGAATAAGAGGTAAAATTGGTAATAAATTGGAGAAAATTTAAGGAATTGAAAGTAGTCTGGACTATGGTCAGATTCGATACCTAAGCCTAATATCAACAATTAAGATATTTGAGATTAGAAGAGCATAAAATGTTGCAAAAAACGGGAGCAAGACTATTTACTTATATATAATTTACAAATACTGAGCAAAGAAAACATATGTAAAAGATAAATCATTTTTTATTTTGCTTGCATTTTATTTTGTACATTAATTTTTTTAATAGTTGTAGCAGCCAGTGCTGGCAGTGCATAATGGCTGAAGAAGTTTCACATGCATTTGACCTGCACAAGAATCTAAAAACAACCTATAAGCTACCTAAAAAATTGATTGAAAGAAAAACATTCTTAAAAGATTCACTTCCAATGGTTAATCATCTTAATAAGGTTAATAAGCAATACCTACAATTGACTAATTGAGTTTTGAAACCATATACTCTGACCATTTTGTATCACTCTTCCCAAATTCACTAAGTAAATCTTAATAGCTAGACACTGCCTGTTTTTCTTTTCTTTTCAAGCAAGTAGACGAAGTCTCATTGCATCCCATTTGGATTTCAAACCCTCCAGCTTTTTGTTAGCACCATCCACCTCAGCCTCTCTTGCTTCAATAATGCAAGCCTGCTCCTCAGCAAGAGCACACACTTTCTTAGTCTGTTTCGACACTTCTCCTCTTTCCACCTTCAGTTGCCGCATATCGCTTTCAATTTCTTCCAGCTCAGTTTTTAATTCCTTTTCTCTCCTAACTAGCCCCACAAGTTTTCTCTTTATCCCTTCATCCGTTTTCACTAAATCCTCTAGCAAACGCTTCGTCTGCTCAAAAGTAGCCCAAAGATGCTCACTGCCCCACTTGACTTTACTCAAGTCCCTCCATTCCCGCATCATCTGAGGAAAAGAAACATTCAAGCTCAAAATCTCTTCCGCCTGCTCATTGCTGAACAAAGAAAGATTGTTAGCGAGTATGGAGAGCGACTCCAACATTGCAGGTTCATGCTGAGGATCAGCCAAGTCCTCCAAAGGGTATGCTATCAGCTTGTCGAAGATTTCTTTGGCAGAAGTTGCACGGTCTTTAAGCAAAGGAACTTCACATGGAATAGCACCGGATGCTAAGTTGGACGGTGACTTGGGTAGTGACTTGAGAACAGATTGAACCCGGGAGTACACAGATTCCACAGGATCAAGAGCAACAGCAGAAGAAGAATCAATAGCCTGATCAATCCCAAAAAGAAATAAAGAAGAGTGGGTTACATTTAGAAAAATACTCCGTATACAATTAATATACAACTCATAGACAAAAGTACAATCACATGGTCACTGCTGTTAATCCAAAATAGTCAAATACCAGCTTGGTCACTAATGCATAAATAAATGACTGTGGTCACTCACTCTAGTCACTCGGGGACAAAAATACCACCATAGTAAAAGTCATAATCTTGCCCACTACTTCAAAAAGATACTTGGCCACATAGCATGTAGGGTTTAAGTGAAGTTTACTTGATAAGGGGAAACAGGAGAAGTAGCAATGTTTGTCACACATGAAGAAGCATCAGGGACATATACTTCAGCTTCGATCAGGCATGAATCATTAACAAGATAACCTTCAGCTTTGTCATGAAACTCACGAAGTGGGATGAATGAAGTGAAGCCCCAGTCACTCTCGTGAGCAGTGAAAGCATGTTTAGTTTCTGCACAACGATGCAGAGAAAACAACAACTAGAGGATAGAAACAGAATTACAACAATCATTTGTCACAACTACTCATTCTACATAATGATATACCTTTCTTGATGGTTTTCTTTGGGTCTAGCTGGTTAAGAAGAGCTAGACTGAACTTTGTAGGTATACGCCAGCCATCGGGTAAGCTATGCAGGTCAGGCACACCTAGGTACAGAGACAAATGAGCTGTGTCGTTTCCCCTTGGATAAAGCAGCAACCTCCTGCAGAAGCCAAACATACTTATAATAAAAATTGGGAGCTGAATATACAATATTTAATCTTTCTCATTCATCTCCACTTAGAGGCATACCACTTGTACTCATTTACGTCATACACTGAAGAGTAAGGCTTCTCAACATCCAAACGCGAGAAGTTATCAATCCTCCATCTAAACTTTGACATTAGATAGTCATTGGTTGGGTCACTCTCTGAAACACAGACAAATTCCTTAGTCCAGCATATACACACATATACACACCACAGTATAAACATATTAAACAATCCACCATATGTTACAAAAGCAAAAAGCACTTCCCATATATCATTTTCCTCTGCATATGGTAGTTTTTCATACCCGTTTCTTTACTTTCCTAGCATTTTCCAGGATTGAAACATAGCCTAAAGAATCAAGGTCCATGTCCTCCAGGAAAATACTTTCTCAAAAACGTTTTCTGAGCCTTACGCCCTTACGTACGAAGGAAGTCCGGAAAACATTTCAGAGAAAAACATCTTCGCATACACAATGAGTTTTCAAGGCATATCTTTAACCAAGTAAATTACTCCTCCACACATGGAATCTGTAGACTAGAGAATGTGACCTACATATGCGCCGGAGACTTATTGCTTCTAAAACGGAGAAATTGGCAGTGGAATGGGAAATGGGAGAAAAGGGAAAGCACAAAAACAAAAAGGGTACCGATTTTTGGTCTGGCCAGAGCCGCTAACCGCTCACCGTTGTTAATCTCACCGGATTTCCTCTTCACCATCGATTTTTGCTCAGGCGGAGTTGGCGGAGGCGTGCTGCTTCTTCAGCTTAGGCTTAGGGAGAGGGTGACGGTGGCGATCTTAGCGAAGGCGGTGGAGACGAGTGAAGGAGAGGCGAGTGAGCGGTGAGGATGGAGCTGTTGGACGGAGGGGGAAGAATATTGTTGACCGCCTTTTTTAACTTTTTGGCAGGTGATACATTTGTGTTTAGGATAATGAGACATGATACGGAAGATATTGCAGTGTCCTCTGGAGTACTATTTTGATGAGTGGCTGGTATTCCAGACGAGTCCGAGTAATGACAAATAAATTCAGGTATGGGGATACATTCTCCCAAAAAGGATTGATAGCGACGTAACGGATAGTCCCTTTCTTTGCCTTTAAAGCATTTATTTAAGCTGAACGAACTATAATTGTACGTAGTAACAAAATACGTGTTTATACGTGGTCGACGTGGTATTGACTATTGAAAAGCTCTTTTGTAGCCTCATTTGAATGATTATGATCTCAATTCCTTAAAATATGATTTGTTTTAAATTTTTCTATCTCAAATTTTAAGAGTCGTCTGGTTCTAATCTAGTTTGAATTTTTCCGCTGTCATTTTTTTCTGATCTCAATTGAATTTTGATTCAAATATTTCTAATCTAATTGAGTGTATTATTATTAGTATTACAATGAGAGATTATCCTAAATAGGAGTAATAAAGGTAAAATTGCAACAAAAGGTGTTTAAAGTTTAAATTATCAAATGGGAAAACTCTTCCTACTCTAACCTTTCACTTGTCATTCTTTGTAGGATTTTTTAAATAACAATAAGAAAACATAAAAAATTGAAAAAAAAACATAAAAATAAATAAATAATGTACACGCCTCAACCACCACCTCAACTACCTTCAAGGCTTCAAGCGCCGCAACATACGGTCACCGGTAAAGAATGTCAAGTTAAGAGAATGTCATCATGATGGCAATTTAGAAAAGAGAGCTGAATATTCCAGAGTAAAAAATTATTTTCATGACATTTTCAGAGGAATGCAACACTTTTTCTAGCGGTCGAAGCTGTTAGTGATGAGAGGTGGCTGATGCGGCGGCATAGGCCTATATATTTTTTACTCCCTTCTTACCATATAGAGATTTTCGATTCGATTTACGATGTTTGACTGACGATAAAACAACTTGATTTCTGTTTACACTCTGATTATTTTTAGTAAATAAAATTTACATATTCAGAAACCACATTAAAACCGCTACAAAGCCTGATAAAAATGTAAATTTGATAAAAGTTTGATATACAAAGAAAAAGATTAAGAAAGATTTTAGTTGACCATGCGAATAGCGGGTTGGAACCTTTGAATGAGACGGAGGTAGTAATATTTTTAGGTATTTTATTTTACTTTCTTAGAAATTTAAAAGTTTTAATATTATTATTATTTAATATTTTATTTTACAATTTTTATTTTATACTTTATTTTATTTTCCCTAGTTTTTACTAATTCATATTAATTTGTAAATATTTTTTATTGTTTCTTTTATTTTTAATATAAATAAAAATATGATTTTATTATCAATAAAATAAATTTATTACAAATTATATATAGGAAGTCGAATAACAAAAAGAGATACTCCGTATATATTACTCACATTTTGGGAATAAAAGAATTATAATCCTATTGTTACATTTAGGGCTGTTTTTAGTCCTTTTTATGGCTAATAGCCCTATATATTATTACTCCTCGTTTGTAATATTTGGTCTCTTACTCCGTTTTTTACATTGTTTACAACTCGTGCATTACTCTTATGTGAAAAACCTACTACAACAGTAAACTAAACTAATGAAAAACCTACATATTCTTCATTAGTAGAGCAACCATTTTATTCCAAGTCCCACAAGTTTAATGGATAGAGACTATATGAGCTACAACTAACTCATAAAAGTATCAGACCATTTTCTCCAAAAATAATGCTCCAATCAAGGGGTAGCAATATTTCACAACAAAAAAGACATGAACTCCCTTTACGATCCATAAAGGCTCAAGTAGTGAGCTGGTTTGCTTCAATGGCATAATTAACTGGTCAATGATGGACCAAAGTCACTTAGGGTATGTTTGGGTGTTAGGTTTATGAGAGGAGGGGAAGGTTTAAAAGGGCTTATGAATCTCCCTTTCTTGTTTGTGAGTAAAAAATTGGAGGAGAGATTGTGGAGGGCTTTTCTAACCCTCCAAATTTAAGTTCCTCCAATTTGGAGGTTTTTGAAGGAGATTAAATTAAATGATAATTTAGGTTAATTTAAAATGAATACAAGTTTAACTATTTGAATTCAATATTAGTAGTATAGTAGTATATATATATCTTAAGCGATTCTAATTATAATAATTCTCGTGATCTCTCTCTTTCCAAATTCATAACTTCACAAAAACAGGAGTTTCTTGCACATTCCCTCCCCTTCTCTCTCATGGCTTCAAGGCTTCAAACTCTCAAACATACCTTTAACTACATTCTAGTCATTAAGTTTTGCTTGTCCAGAAAAATCCTACAAGGCATGTATCACTACTTGGAAGACACATCCCACCTTTTTCTCAAATAAAGAGATGTCTTGTTGCATCAAACTCTGACTTCAAATTGTCCATCTTTTTGTTAGCTCTATCCAAATCCATCTTTTTGGCTTCCACTTTTCTAGCTTGCTCCATAGCAAGAGAACAAACTTGCTTTGTCTGCTTTGACACTTCTTCTCTTTCCTCCTTGAGCTGTCCACGGCTGCTTTCAATTACCTTCAGATGAGCTTCCAATTCCTCTTCTTTGTCACTTAAATACTTTAGTTTTCTCTTGATTTCCTCCTCCCTTTTCACTAGATCTTCAAGCAAACTTTTGGTCTTCTCAAAAGTAGAACAGATTTGCTCACTACTTTCCTTAACTTTAATGGAGTCTCTCCATTCATGCATGATTTGTGGAAAACTTGCTCTCAAATCCATAATTTTTTTGGCCTGTCCATCGGTAAACAAAGAAAGGTTGTCACTGAGTATAGAAAGGGACTCCATCATTGTAGTTTCACGCTTGGGGTCAGCTAAATCATCCAAAGGGTAAGACAATAGTTTGTCAAAGATTTCTTTTGCAAAAGTGGCATGGCCTTTGAACAAAGGTTGCATTTCACATGACACATCATCAGATAATGAAGTGAGAGGTTTCTTGGGTAGAGAATTGAGAAATGATTGAGCCCGAGCATACACAGACTCCACAGATTCAAGAGCCTGATCACACCAAGAAATGAAAAAAAATCGTTTAAAGATACTGGAAAACATACAATACCATAGGCAATATATATAGGATTTAGGGACAAGTTACTCTATCTGTTGAAGCTGGAGAAGAAGAGGGCTCAGACATGGATACTTGAAATTCAATCAAACATGTGTCATCAACGAGATATCCACCAGTTTTAGCACAGAATTCACCAAGTCGGGAAATTAACACTGTTATCCAATCACCAAGTCTTGCATTGAGTTGATATTCTCTCTCTAAGTAAAGCAAATTTAAGCTTTAGTAGAGATTCCTGTTGAATTCATATCCTACCATTGATTCTTGCATCATAATAGTGAAAAAAACAGCGAAAAAAACAGCAGACCATAACAAATAGATTTCTTGCATCACAAAGGATATAACTAATAAGCCACAAATCAGAGCCAGTTTTTAGCACGATCAAAATGTTCTACAAAACAGGGCCTCCCAATTTCTGCGGCCCCAAATTTTAAAAAAATTATTAGTATTATTACATAGTAATAATATACGTAGTATATAAATACTAATCAATAAAATAAAGTTTTTTGTGAGTACGTTTACTCGTGTTTTACTTAAATTGATTGAGTGATGAGTTGTGTTGTTTTAAATCAAGTACTCCCTCCGTACCGCTAAGATTGTCTCATTTTACCTTTTCGGGAAGTCCCACTAAGATTGTCTCATACCAAATTTGGTAAAAATTGTGTGGCTCTAAATCATTCTTACTTTATTCTTACTTTATCAATTTAATATCAACCACACAAACCCACTTTTCTTAATAATCTTGCCACCTTCTTCCGTCTCAATCTTAGTGGGACAGAGGTAGTATTAAGTTATTCTTAGAATTTTTATTATATTATTTGATGAGTATTGAGTTGATTTCAGTATAAGTATTTAGATTGAGTTTAATTTTTTTAATTTTTACAGTATATTAATACGGCTCTGCCGGCACAAATACATGATTTCATTGTTTAATTTTACCTTTCTTGATGGTTTTCTGCTGTTCATCTGATTAATAAGAGATAGGGTTAACTTTGCTGTTCTTCCCCGCCCACCGGTTAAACTAGATGAATCCATCACGTCAAGGTACTCCGCTCCATTTCCTTTTGCAAAAAGGCTCAATCTCCTACAGAAACAGAAGGAAAAGGGTAATAGTTGTGTATGGAAGTGTATAGTAAAGAATAAAATTACCCCTAGTGAGTGTGAGATGATTTGATGGTATCATACCAATTGTACTCATTTACCGTAAACGTCCTAAAATAACGCTTTTTAACTGATAACCTCGTCACATTTTCTACTCTCCAAGTGAATTTTGAAACCAGATCAGCCTGGGGGTGTTTTGCTTCTGCAACATTAACACGCAATCATTCAGTAAATAAGCAAAATCAAAATGTCTCGGGGAATGACAGCTCTAACAAGAAACAATCTAATTCAAAAGAGAGGGATGAGCAAGTGCAATGCTTTTATCCTCACACCTTCCATGATGAAAGAAATGAGGCAAATTGGAACGCGAAACTGCTAGCCCATTCCTCGAGCACTCTAATACTCAACTGAAAGTATTATGCACAGTCAGAAACTAACCCGTCAAGGATAAAAAATGAAATTAATTACTGATTTGTTTCCCGTATCAATACTCAAACCAGAATTACAATTTTGAATGTCGAGTTCCAGACCAGTCGGCGAAGCCTTTCGTCTTCTTATTTGGAAAGACTCAAAGAAGGATGGAAACGACGAGTCTCTGAAGATGATTAATGCAGGAAGTGGGTTAAGACGTTGAGTATTGGCATCTATAATTAATCATAATTAACTCGGGGATTAATTAAGTAACATAATACTCCGTAAGTTAATAACTCTAGGATTCCTTGCAAAAAAAAACTCTAGGATTTTACGAACTTTTCTTTGTGTGTTGTCTAAAAATCTTTCCTAGTTTATGTTTTAAAGTAGCTATATTAATATTCTCCTTCTTTTTGC